TTATTATTACTTATTTTACCTAATCTAGTCCTATATAACTTAAAAAGATCCATATTTTTAGATTTTATTTACTTTTATAATAATAAATAAAGAATAAATATTAAAAACAAGAAATAGAGTACTAATCTTATCTTCTTTTTTCTTGTCCTCAATTGTCAATGACAGTTAAGCCTAATTTTTATAGTAATGCACATAATAATTGGTATTGAATTAAATAATGCACCAAAGAATATATATATATATATATAGGCATGGCCAGGTGGTTAGGGCACTCGACTCGCAATCTGAGGGTCGCGGGTTCGAATCCCCGTCACATCAAACATGCTCGCCCTATCAGCCGTGGGGGCGTTATAATGTGACGGTCAATCCCACTATTCGTTGGTAAAAGAGTTGGCGGTGGGTGGTGATGACTAGCTGCCTTCCCTCTAGTCTTACACTGCTAAATTAGGGACGGCTATCGCTGATAGCCCTCGTGTAGCTTTGCGCGAAACTAAAAAACAAACAAAAAAAAACAATATATATATAGACTAAAGTAGACAAAACTTTTCTGGATTTCTAACTATGAGAGAAGAGCCATCACAAATTCATCCAAGCTTGTCATTAACATTCCCACTGGAACAAATCTTGTACTTTGAGTGAAATTGACACTTATATATTCAGAACACAACATTATACGTCACTAGATAGATGAAAACCTTGACTTTCTATTGGTTATAGGTAATATATAATGAAACATAACAGAGAATTATTAACAAATTCTGAAAGAGGGGATGTGACAGGTGGGTTGGCAGGAGGGGTCTGATTTTCTATTCTATAACTCTGCAACCAAACAAAATTGAAGACTATAAAAATTTTGGTTTGTATGAGCAATAACGATTTTATAGAGAGTAATTTACATTTAATTTCGTACTTTTTCGAGGGGTGATGGATAACATATGGATGAGGACATGCTAAGAGAAAATGTGTCACGTGGGTCACACTAGTGAAAATTCAGGATACACGTGACAAATGAATATATTTTGCCAGACTTTTGACTTAGAATGTTGACAACTTAAAATACACAGTAAAATAATACATAATCACAGTTTCCAAATGGACATAATTTGTGGTCAAATCATAAATAGATTAAATAGTGTACAAGTAAAAGTGAAACTAAAAAATAATCGAACAGTATAAATAATTTAATCAAACTAGTTAGTAATGAGGAATAACATCAAATTAAGAGCAAAATAAAAAATAAGATATATTTACACATGATAATCAATAAACAGAACTGATCCAATATTACTTAAACACAAAGGTATTTTAACAAACATTCGCAAAATTTGTATTTGAGCTTGTACAAACTAGCAAAACTACACTAAAGTGAAAAGGAATCAATTGAAAGAACAAGCCTTAAAGGGAATACAGTTGATAATAAAGTCTCAAATGAAGTAAACTAAATTACAATTGGAAAATTAATTAACCCTTTATAGTAATGTATGTACAAAATATATAGCAATCTTTTTTCCAAAGGATTAAAGAAGGATAACAAGAATCTCCACAGACTCCTGCATTCTCGTGAATGAGGTCAAGAGGGCTTTATATGCCTTCTGCAACATTTATGTAATGCAAGTTCTGGGCCGTCAGTTAATAGTCCACCATTTTGAATCTCCATCAAGAATGGTTAAATTTCACTGACAGATCCTAGGGCATCACATACTTGGCAGCCTTAACCTGATAGCACTGTTTACATTTTCCACAGTAGCAACATAGAAACTGTCCAGATTAGATACTAGCACTGGTATATAAAAAGTTGTGGTACTTGATATCCCGCTCCTTCTTTTCCTGCCTCTTTGTTTTCGTTGCAGACAACTTTGGTATGAGGAAGAAATATCTGAAAATGAGCATGAGATGGTCCTGTTGGATATGTAAAATCAACTTAAGTGGAAGTTTTATGTTTTCAATTTCAAACCTATGTCCTTGACATGTTGAGTATAATCATTATGTTTGAACATTTGTCTAAAATGTGTCACCTAAAATCAGAGTGATATCCACATACATGAACAATCTGTCTCATTGCAGCTACTTTAATGTAAACTCCATCAACTTATCAAAAGTACCAGACTGAATGGCGTACATATATGGGCTTCATACAATCTGTCACGAGTACTTAAAATATAGTTTTGGATTGTCATTATTCAGCATGATTTTTCAGTAGTTGGATGCTGGGCTATAATATCAAACTAACAAGAATATATTAGTACATCCAGTAAAGAACATTTGCTTTATTAATCACGGGTCACTTATATATATATTGATGATGAGTGATCATTGTGCTTCACAGATACCCATCTGTTTCAATACATCTATTGGAAACTCTCTGTGAAATTTATTAAGATTCTGTTGACCTTTTACGTTCATATTGTCAGCAAAGTTCTTATTAAGCAAACTTGAGTGTTAGATTCTATCACTCGTGTTTCACTCAACATAACAATAACCATTCAAGCTTGATTTTGAATAGCTTTCAGCGCATAGTTATATATCAACTCCACCCAAGCAACTGCAGCTACTTTATTTCTGAACGAAAAGTCATTTCCTTGTGCATTAGCTCTATCCCTGCACCACATCACAGAGCACACTGTATACATTCAGAGGTGCTAAAACCTCCTGTTCTGCACTTACACATGCAGTCTGTTGCTTCTGGAACACCACTTATACATTCAAGCCTAATTCACACTTCATTAACTAGCAATAGCGATGGTAGCCATGACATGCCATTGACTTCCTTACATTTTTTGTGGTGTTACCTAGAATAATAAATGTGTTACCAACCCTGTTGAAAAACAAGATATGGTAATCCTGCATCCAATGACTTGCTAAACTAAAAATGACACAATGGTTCCATCCCTCGCATTCTATGCATTTGTATAAAGACTTCTGTTACTGAAAATGTGCCAAAGCCAAGAAAACTGGGCCAGAATAGTTCTGTTTTTCTGTAGAGAAATATGGCGTCTGCATTTTGATACATAGTTTGCATGCGGTAATGGAGGTTTGGTCAATGTTTCGTCTTGTGTATTTTTCTTGGGTCTTGTTTGGAACAGTATTTGCCACTAAAGACACCGTTTTGGCTTGATTTTGTGCTCTACAGTCCGGTTTGATGTAATTACTTCAAGTAATGTAGGTGCAGTAATAGCCTTCAGAAATGTTTTGTCCCTTTAATCTATGTGGTGCCATAGGGGTTCTCTCAGGAACCTATGAATGAACTTGTTAATGAGAATTTCTCCATGATCTGCAATTAGTGCACTTAATTACTTCTCCTCGTGCAATCATTGCAGATAACCTCCATAAATGTCAAAGTTCTAGTGAGCTCCATGAGAACAAGTATTGAAATCATCTCTGTAAGGTAGTCTGTTTTCCATTATGTCAAACTGATAAAATTTGACTATGATCTTTTTTAATTCACTAAGCTTCACCGCTGTTAACTATTCTGTAGGTCTGAGTGTTGAGATAATCAAATTCGACATCATAATTTGTATTGGCAACAAAATAAACAAATACAGTAGTGCATATGGATATGTATCATCACCTACATCAGTCTCACCAGTTTGAAGATTTCTGGCTGTTCCAAGGTTCTTCAGCCTTGACATGAAATGATGGCCATTCCATCTTGTGGTTGTGCAGCTCTTTCTGAGAGGTAACATTTGCTGCGTATGCCCAAAGCCTCCTACAAGCCCCAAAAAATAATATCCAGCACTGTACTTGGCCCAGGTTTGGATCATGATCTCACTTCAGGTGTTTTGTACTCCTCACAAACATATGTTCTATGAAGTTTTAGATCAGAAATAAATGTTTCATTATTAAAACACTACGAAATAAAGAGCTATGATAGAGAAGAGAAACATGAAAAAAAAAGAATCATGTTTAATATAACCTAAAAATTCATGAAAACAAATTCATGACATTAGCTCCAAAAATGTTCTGCATAACTTAGTCTATGGTAGTCAAGTGTACTGTTCCTTGAAGATAAGTTATAAATTCTGCCAATGACAAAATATTTTAAACTGGGTGTTCTGCAAAGAATAAATCAAACTCAAATCAGTAAAATAAACTCTCAAGAAGATGCGTAAAGTTTTAAATGCAAGTTATTGCGTTAAATACAAAATTATTTGTTACTGGGGGTTATATGTTTTCTGGACTGGTAAGAGAGACACTTGCACCATGCAAGAGAGACAGGGATTCTGTCTCATTCCAACGTTTGACAGTAAAAAATATCGCTTTATAGCGTTTCCCACAAGCTCAGTTTCCTATTTTGAAAATCATTCCCACTTTGCATACAAAGGAATATAATCTTCCTGCTTATACAGACCCGAGAACAGTTTGGATTATTTCAGTCAACGCACTAGCTGAACTAATAGAATAATCCAAAAGACAAGTATAAGCTGTAAAATGAATGACTCCTGTGATATTTACTCTTCCAAAATGTGAGTTAGTGCAAATTAAAGCTAGATACGTTCCATTCAAAGTAAAGACTAATAACGAAGCGCCTAACGAAAATGTTGGAACATTCTACTTGAATATAAATGAATAAATATATCCATTACATTTCTAATTATAAAATGGTAACATGCTAAAATTCCAATGTTTCATGGTATCATTATCAATTTAAAACGAGTTTGATGAATATGTTAATAAATAAGTAAAATGTTTTTATTAAATGTAAAGTTAGTCACATATTAATATACCATAGTATGATTGTAAGTTTTATTCACCTATGTTAAATTTAATTAAATAAGGTTGCAATATAAGAAATATTCAAAGAAATATGTATATGTAATAAAGCATAATAATTCAATTAAGCTATTTATTTCTGATTTATAAATATATATATATATATAACACAACTTGTTGGTTAGAATTATAATTAAACGAATTGATTAATCTATTATAAACCACCAATAGGATAAGCTGATGATTAAAAATAGTCATATATATATATATATATATATACTATCAAAAAATAAGTTTTTAAACTGCATTTATTTAGACCATAATAGGTGATACAAAGTGATTTTTGGAAATACAAATATGTCACTTGTCTATAATTATCCGATTGGGAACGAAATTCCAGTAAGTTGTTCGACAATATATTCTCTTAGATAAGACATCATTTTTCCGACTAAAAACCCGTTGATTAGCTTTATTATTCCTGTCATGAGGTATTGAAGAATCCAGGTCAACGGTCCGAGACCAGAAAGATCAAACCAGATCGTACTCATATTGATCACATCCAGCGCATCTAGCTCTGGACTTGCAGACTTTTCGTTGGACTGTTTGACTTTGAAGAAAAAATCCAGTCTCTCAACACTTCCAATCCCTTGAATTGTCGGACCGAAACTCATAAACTTGGCATGCCCTGAACAGAATGTAAGAATTAATAAATATCACCTGTTAATAGACGCTAAGTACAATGTAAATATAATATTCCAAAATATAATTTCAATTTGAGCAAAGATTAAAATACATATTCAAAGTTAACCTATTTTAAAGTAATTTTGTTTTCTATCAATAAAATTAACTATAAAGTTATCATGTACAGTTGAAACTAAGATTAATATAAGGAATTTAAGGATTCCAAGTCTGAATTAACAGACATATTTAAAAGACTAATATACACCCCACAACTAAAATTGATATGAATTTCAAACTTAAGATAAAATACGTTTATTCAACACTAAAATTATAACATTTTTAATCTTCTAATCAAAGATAGCCCCCCAGTGGCACAGTGGTATGTCTGCGGGGTTCGATACCTTTGGTGGGCAGAGAATATTGTGTAGCTTTCTGCTTAATTACAAACATACAAAACAAATCAATGATAAATATACACCTTGAAAGTTAAGATCCATATACTCATTTAAAACTAAGATTATTACACACTCATAAGTCAGTATTGTAGACACATTTGGCGAAATATTATCAGTTTATTCCACCTGAAGGTCAACTGGTCAATCAGTGATTCGATTTCCTTTAGTCAACAAGATGCAGATAGCCATTACGTATTTTTGAATTAAGATACACAATATTACTTTATGCCAGCATAGCCTAAACTGGAAATGGTTTATATTAAAGAAGAACTGGTTTAGATAAAATAAAAAATATAGCATGTATTACATTATAGTCCTGATGGCAACAATATCGAAAGTTGAAAATCTCAAACAATAAGAAAAATATTAGAAAATTTCATGTATGTAAAGAATTTGTATTTGTTACTCACGACAAAGCTAATTGCCGCCGTTCCCAATTTTGAACTACTGACCAGAGGAAAATGGACAGCCATCAGCACCATACTATCATTTATTACCGATGATGCTGGTTAATAGTCTATTGGTTTACAGCACAATTTCTACCGAAAGACGCTTTTTAAAAATACACTAAAGTCAATATTGATCCCTCCTCCGAGCCCTTTGGGGTTTTTCCAAAGTTCAACAACTGTGCATGAAGTACGACTTCCGATAGTTTGTTTCTGCAACCTAAAAGTTTTTGCTTGTTTGTTTTTAATTTTGAGTAAAACTACTCGAGGGCTATCTACGTTAGCCGTTCCTAAATTTGAAGTGGTAGGCTAGATGGAAGGCAGCTAGTTCACACCACTCACCTTCAACTCTTGAGCTACTCTTTACCAACGAATAGGGGGATTGATCTTCATACTATAAAGAATCACCATTTTAATTGCATCATACAGAGAAAATATTGTGCTAACTTGGACCTATGGCTGGATGATTTGTCTCGATGGAACCGATTAGTTTCTGTCCTTCAGTCAGTAGTTCTAAATTAGTGTGGATCGTTTAACCTATGTTTTGTATAATGTACCTTTAAATTAAAAATAACAAACAAAATGAAAAACAAAGGATTTCAGTTTTAGGCTTCTATCGTTGAGACTTAGTAATTAATGTAGATAATCTTACTATAAATATTATCCATTACGTGCATGTGTATATTAGCATCCACCACCAACGTTGGCTGGCACCAGTACAATAATTTTTTGTATGAGAACTGAAAACTGTGTACCTGGGTTATTTTGCTTTAGAATTTTAGCACAAGAAGGGGGATAAGACACTCTTAAATATGGCACATTTCCGCTTCTTTATATACTTTTGGTTTGAATTTAAAGGCGCAAGTACATAATCAGTTAAATGAATCAATTAATACTTTCCACAAAACAGAGTATGCAATTAGCATCTAATGATGTCATTAGAGATTTAATAACAAATAAAAGAAGGAAGGGGAACATTGTTCTTCATACAATTTTTGCTTACTTAATGGCTACCTTAAGCTAGTACATATAATGGATATTTTTTGTAACGAATGAATATATTTGATTATTTTTTGCTTCATTAACGTATGACTAAAATTTATTAAATAATTTGTACAAACAATATTAATATATTACCTTTCCTGTTTACATATGGGCGTGTATTGGTATTGTGGTAATTTCTGAATATCGAAGTAAGGGTTCAATACCACAAGATATTCTCAGACTTCAAAATATTGGTTAGTTATAAGAGTAACAGTCAATCCTTTAGGCAGCCTTATGATACACCAGATAGTTTTTGTTTATTTGTCAAATTAATGTTCAATATCTGGTTGATCGGCTTCGTCAGGTACGCGGCTTAAACACATTGCATAATGTAATGACTAAGTCTTGAGGTTAGAAGCCAACATTTTGTTATTGAGACAATCCACGATCACTATTGAATGTAGAATTAATTTTTTCACTAAATAATGACACCGTATTTTTTTAAAATATGAGCACTTATCTATTGTTCGTCTGTGGATGTGTACATAATGTTCTACTGAGACGTCTGTTTAAAGAGATGTTCACGATCTATATAACGGCACCAACTTCACCTTTTTTTGCATGCAGAATTAAGAATTTGCAACTCTAGCACACTGCGGTCCGAACCTTTGACCTAGCAATCAGAAGTCCAGCATGCTAACCATTATATCACATCCACTGATATTTATTGAAAAAGTGTTAAAAAGTTTCCTTTATTTTAAAATTGTTTTACGTAAAAGTTTAATAGGCTTAATAGCATAAAAAATCTGTCTCCCTCTCTCTCTATTTCGGGTCCGCCCTTGAAACAGCCATAAGTCTTCGGATTTACAACGCGAAAATCAGGGGTACGATTTCCCTCGGTGGACACAGCAGATAACCTAATGTGGTTTTGCTACAGAAAAAATACACACACACTCTCTTTTTGAAATTTTTGTTGTTGTTGTTGTTGTTTAACAGTGCTTACCAGTATATGAAATCTTTAAGTTTCTCAGTCCAAGATTAGCAGCAACCATCAAAGTGTCATTACTGGCATCCAGTTCACAGTCTCCGGTTCTATGATAAATTTCTTCCTCTGATAAAGGGGGAACTAAATAATGCTTTGAGGGGAGTCATTAATCGTGAGCTTTTAAAACTTCCCATCAAAGCCATTATACCAGGCAGTTCAGCCAATGAGTACGTTGATCAAATTTTGGATAACGTTAAAGAACAAATCAAGCATTATGAAATGGACCCAATGCCCCTACCGGAATACTACTCGAACTTTTCGAAAACAGTTCTGTTTGTCACTGTTTATGGAGAGGCAAAGCTTTACGATGGTTTGTTGAGTGGGATCTCCTCCATGTATCTAAAATTCTCAATATTTTAAACAGAGAAACTGAAGCCCAACGAACCTAACAGCCTGTGGGATCTTCTGAGGAGCGATGATATTCTTGAAAAGATTTCACTGGATGACTACATAAGGAATATATTGGAGAATTTTCGGGAAGATATGAGAACTGGCATTGATAGTCTAAAAATCCCGATATTAGATCCATTAAGCCTCCCAGAGGCTGTGATTAACGTCAGCGAAGACATTGCCAAAGTCAAAACCGTTTTTCAAAACTTAGTCATTAAAGGAATGTCTTACTTCTATCTGGAGCAACTGGCCACTAGTCTTAAGTATTTAAGCCTTAGCTTCTCAATAACACTTGAAGATTTAGTTGCTTCTGGGTATTATGATTTAGATGGCTTAATTATTAGCTTCATTCCACTTCGGGGAAATGGGTCGTGCATGGTGCAAGTCAAGAACGTGACTCTTTCGGCTACTGCATCCCTGGAAACCACTGAAAACGGCAAGCTACAACTGGCTAACGATTTTGATGTCCTCGTCTACTTCGATTCTGTTCAGCTGGATTTTGAGAACCTACTGGGAGGAGGAAAGTGGACAGAGGTTATACAAAAAGTTGTAAACAAGATGGCTAACTCACTCTTTGAGGATGCTTCTTACAAAAACGATACCATATTAACAAGGATAAAGCGTGCTTAACGCGATTCAACATAATATATGTTTTGGTTTTAATAATATTCACGTTTTGGCAAGGAAAAGAAATCATAAATAAATAATTTGTTTGTAATTGTGGTTTGATGTTCTTATAGGTTGTTTATTAGGACATATCTATATGAAATAATTTTTCGTTAATATTACTCACTTTAAACTGTTCAAAAATAAGCATTTTTTTTTTACTTTTGTGGAGTACGTCTGTACAAACTATATTATATATATATGTGTGTGTGTGTGTGTGTGTATGAGTGTGTAACATAATTTTCATGAATTAAAAACAGTAGATAGAAGTGGCATTTGTTTCTTTTAGTTTAATTTAGCAGATAATTTTATATGGAAGGTTGTTATACTACATAGCTAAGCCAGGATAAAAATGCATTCTAATCCTACTAACATAGGAAACCTGAATATTAATAGGTTATATGTCTTCACGTATCAACCCTTCTGTAAACTGGACGAGTGTGTGTTCGCTTTCTTTGTCAGAAGACTCTTTTCTCTATACTTTTGTGGCATTGAAAGGTTTAATAGAAAGAGAAGTAATAAATATGACCATCAGAGGGATAGATAATTTAACGCCCTCTGTGAATCAGTCTTCACAGAAACTTATACAATCATATAACACATAGTAGCTAAATTTATATCGTTCAGTGCATTGTTGCCTGATGAAGGCTCCGATAAGAGGGCCGAAAGCTCGAAAATAAAAGTATTTTAAAATTAGAAAAAAATTCGTGTTTAATTCTAGATACTAAATTATTCTTTAAAATTAATTACCATTGAACAATTTAGATAAATATATTTGATATCTAAGATCCTAACTGTATTAGAACCATGCGGATACTCTTCTAGTAACACCACCGTATTGATAAGCAAACAAAAACGACCAAAGTGAGGCCCTACCTGTGTTAAAACCAAGTGGATGGGCTTTTAGTAATACTACCACGTTGACAACCAGACAAAAGCAAATCAGTTTTATGGGCATGGCTTGTGGGCTTTTGGTACAAACTGAAAGAAGAAAAGAAATTGTTAATCAAAAGTAAGCCAATATAAAGATGATTCATGTACTTGAAATACTGTAGTAAAATAAAGTTGATACTTGTGAATTATTTTTATGTAATACACGCAAAAAAAGGTGAAATATTTGCCTTGAAGAGTGGAATAATTGCATTATAAGAATAGATAATTTTACCCGAATATTACGAATACGAAAATACAAGTAAGAAAAGCTCTTCATACTCATAAACAAAACTGCATTGTTAAAGTAAAACGGTAAGAACATTAAAACATAATGCGTGAATAGATGTACTCCTATACAAACCTTAATATGCTGTAACGAGAACATATTTTACAACGTTATTTCGCAGGAGTTAAATAATGTATGCATTCATGTAACATGTTGTACATGGATAGAAAGAGAAACATTTATTATATCAATATCATACTATAAAGAAATACTTGCTTACAAATATTAGAAAAGTAAACAAAAAAACCTGAGAAATATATGATTTTTGTATAGAAATAACAGCTCAATATGAAATTGGAAGAAAATAAAAAACATACCATTAAATAATGGCTAGTTTCTCTCTCATTGGAATAAAATAAAAACATGCCATTAAATAATGGCTAGTTTCTCTCTCATTGGAATAAAATAAAAACATGCCATTAAATAATGGCTAGTTTCTCTCTCATTGGAATAAAATAAAAACATACCATTAAACAATGGCTCGTTTCTCTCTCATTGGAATAAAATAAAAACATACCATTAAACAATGGCTAGTTTCTCTCTCATTGGAATAAAATAAAAACATACCATTAAACAATGGCTAGTTTCTCTCTCATTGGAATAAAATAAAAACATACCATTAAACAATGGCTAGTTTCTCTCCCGAAGTAGCTTTAGACTAGTCAGAACGAAAGAAAAATGCATTAAGTCACTGTCACTGTTCCCAAGGTGTATCTAGTTTCCATGAGAAAATTCACAGTTGGTTACTAAAGTATAGTGATAAAGAATCCCCACTCTCTGCATATTCTATGTACTTCTTGTCTAGAATAAAAGCTAACACACACTGGAAATTTATTTGCACTATAATGGTATTTGTGAAGCACTATTATAAACATGTGTAAAATATTAGTAATCGTTTTTGTTAACTGCTGCCATTTATTAGTGTTTTCGTAAAACTACTGTTAACAATACTTCAGTTAATGGTGTTAATAACTTCAGGTTTTCATACTGATATCAAGAAGTGGTTGCACTGCAACGCTAAAATTAAAAACAAAGTATGGAGTTTATAAATATAATAACTGATATTTCACCAGGTCATATAACTTAATAATTCGATTTGACAGAAATTTTATTCTAAAAGAATATTGTTTAGCCAAAGGTTTTCACAACTTAACTGATTATTTTAACTTAGCGAAATCGGTCCTTCATTTGAAAGCCATTATTGTTTCTTTCAGCTCAGTTACTATGTAGTTAAGCCACATACATGTAGCTTTTATACTCCAAAAGCTCTAGTTAAAATAATATAGACTTCTGAATGCCTATAACGCAAAAAAAAAAACGAGTTTCGATAACTGTGGTAGGCAAGTACAGCATTGTACTAAACGGCAAACAATTTGTTAAAATGCATGGGTACAATTGATAAAATAAAACACAAAACCTGAACTTCAAGCATTGCACCATATTGTAACTAACATAAAAAACCTTAACGATCTACGTTGTACCATATTGTAACGAAAAAAAATTGAAATAAAGAGAACCTTAGCGATTCGCGTTATACCATATTGTAACTAACAAAAACATAAGTGTCTACATCGTATTGCCTCTTAAGAAATTCATAAATCAATAAGTTTAAGGATTGATACAATGACATCTCAAAAATCCGAATAAGACAAACTTATTCACCTGATCACCGCAACAACAGAGATCCGAGGAAATACGTTTTCCTGAAATCACCAAAGTAAACAATATAGTCCACATTATTTCTATATAGTTTTAATCAAATACTGGATCACAAAAAATCTGGAAGTATATTTACTTCACATGAACAGTCATAAAATAACCTCACGTTCAGGGAAATGTCAGATACAATATAACAAACAAACGTACAAACAATATGAAGTTTTCTTTCTGGTCTGGAACTCCTTGATATCTTATCGAGGGTTCTCGATGAGCGAGTTAATTACGAGTTGATACAGGTACGATTCGCTTAAGGGGGGAAGCTAGCTAGCTTTGTCCTCCGTTATTTACCAGACACGCTCGCCGATATTTTTCCACCGGTGGCTTTCCGTAAAAATACTAATGTCCGATGAGAATCCACTGAAGTTAAATAATTTGTAATGTTCGAACTTTGAAAAAGTTCCTCGTCAAATATTTGAAGTTTTCCGATTGGTAAGAGTTATAACAATCACAGTTATAGCTTCCGAAGTAGGCCAGGCATGGCCAGGTGGTTAGGGAGCTCGACTCGCAATCTGCGGGTTCGAATCTCCGTCACACACTGTTTCAGCCGTGGAGGCGTTATAATGTGACGGTCAATCCCACTATTCGTTGGTAAAAGAGTAGCCCAAGAGTTGGTGGTGAGTGGTGATGACTAACTGCCTTCCCTCTAGTCTTACACTGCTAAATTAGGGACAGCAAGCGCAGATAGCTCTCGTATAGCTTTGCGCGAAATTCATAAAAAACAAACAAACTATTTCTGTTTATTTCTTTTTTCTCCATCTCTTCATCATAGCTGTATGACAAATTTTATCCGAGCAGGCTTATTTGTTCATCAACCACATCTTTAGTGCACACGAACCAAACTTTTATATGAAGGATTACTTTTCATGTGTTGTAGAATACACTTACAGGTTGTTTTCATATAAAATAAGAAATATATTACAAAATATATAAATGTATTCTTAAGTTGTTGCCAAAAACCAAAAATATTTTCGAGAGTACAACTGCACCCTATATCTCAGAAATCAAGAAGTACACAAACCGTTCGGTGTTACCACTGATGTTCAAGGTATCCTAGCTATCATTACCAGCAGCCCAGCTGCATATGTTCTGGGGTATCTAACCATCAGTCACGGTCTTAACTGCAGAAACTTAGTGAATTTCAAACTGCCTGAGTGCAAAAATATACCATCTATTCTCGAGGTAGCTCAGAAGGTAATAAGTGCAAATCCCTATTGGTTCTACAACCATCCTGTCTTCAGAAACTTGTATGTCACGCTCAGCCATAACAAATTTGTGATCAGTGTTGTCTTCTCTGAAATTCATACTAGCAAGTTATCTGCTCAGGTATTGTCCTCTCTTCTCCTGAATTACCATAAACAATGAGAGATGGTTCAGCATTATTTTACTATCGTTGGTCAGAGTAATACTGGTGAGCATCTTCTGCAAACTCAACTCATTCACTCACTGCTTCCTACTCTAACTAGTGACTGAGACATTTGTCTTCAACACTGAAGATGATTTCAGTTTATCAAAAAAATGTTTCTCTCACTTTCACTCACCACACAACTGTTGTATCTTATACTTTGATCTTATCTTATCTTAGATTGAATCATTACAACACAAATTAAGTTTCAATAGATCCAGATCTAAGTAGATTATTTGCTGTTGGGGTACAACAAATCCATACCAAGTCTCCTGTCTTGAACCGATATTTTTTAACTGTCTTATCATATGTCCTCCTCTCTTTCTTGGCTACCTTTCTCATTTCATAATGTAGAAATTCATGTGCATAAACTAATCCAACTCTTGGTCACTCCATATATTTTTACAGCTTTATCTATCATTCTGGCAGGCCACATGAGGTCTATGTGACAGAAGCTGTGGTAGAGAACACTTGTTTTCCATTACACCATTATAGTGGAAATGATAATCTCAGTTGCACAACCTAAGTTTACAAATCTAGAAAGCATACACTTCAAAGTTCAAACTATTAACTAGGTAACAACAACATAAGTGTTATTTCATTCCGATCCTGGAGGGTCCGGCG